ATTAGGTTAATAAAGGAGTGAAAAAACTAGATTTTGAAGAATCAATTTGTACTGGGAGGTGTTTTCAAAATAATTCATATATATATATATCATAGCTAAAATATTTTCAAATCTTTGCCAAAATGATGAAATACATAATAAACATGCTCCAATTATTATTATTTTTGTGAGTTTTTTTTTTATTTTTTTTAATTTGTTTTAAGGTCCTCGAGTTGGATCCCTACTTGGAACAACTGGGCCCAAGCTCGGCCACTACCAAAGCCTGAGTTGAATCAGCCAATTTTTCAAATACTATTTGAATCCATTGTCGTCATATCACAAATTTCAAAAATCCCATCCTAACCCCGGGTTAATTTAAAATGGGCATTTAATGGTATATTTCAGATTGATTTATCATTATTTTTACATATCAACTTCAAATAGTTAAAATCACATCAAAAAATAATTTAACTCACTTTTGAAATCCCAAAGTTCACACAAAGATCAGGAAATAAACAAATTTATTATAGTAGAAAAATTCTTGTTTTTCTGTTTGCACTATTTTTTTTCATTTTCAATTTTTTTTTTTACCAAAATGACATTCACGGTAGTCATATTATCATAATAATTAATGCATGTTATACTAAGGGAATTTTATACATTAATTTTAGTACCATAATACTGAGAGCATTTTATATTGTACTTTAAATACCGTAAACTTACACTAAGCTTATATGACATGCTGTAAATATTAACTCGTATACGGCATGCTGTAAATATTAACTCATGTTATACACTGTAAACACTTTTTTCATTATGTTTATCTTTTTTATTTATAGTTCTTTTTATGTTTATCTATTATTTTTCTCTCTAATTATTTTTAATAATTATCTCTTTGCTCTCTAATTCTTTTTTATCTCTTCTTTTTCTCTCTACAATTTCATTATCATTTCCTTAAAGAGAGTAATCAACATTGACTTCGGTTATGCAAAACAGATGACATGATCTACCTAAGGAAACGATAATGAGATTGTAGAGAGAGAAAGAAGAGATAAAAAATAATTAGGGAGAGAAATAAGAGATAAATATTAAAAAGAATTAACGAGGGAAAGAAGAGATAATTATAGATGAAAGAGATAAATATAAACAAGATGAGAAAAGAATTTACGGCATTTTAAGTGCCGGATAAGATGAGTTAGTTTTTACGGTACTTAAAATACCCCATAATGAGTCTTAGTTTTTATAGTTTTTACGGTACTTAAAGTATCGTAATTGACTTCACGGTACGGCCAGAGTTTTACGGTACTTAAAGTACCTTAATATTATTTGAAGTTACTACGGTATTATATTTGCAATATAAAATGATATGTATTACTATCGTGAAGGTCATTTTAGTCCAAAAAAAGCTAAAAAAGAGAGAAAACGGTTTTGGTTTTTTTTTTTTCTAATTAACCTTAAATTAAGGCATATTTGTGATAATTTCCATTTAAAAAATAGGTGGTGTCCTAGATCAGATACCCCAAAAACGGCTTGGATGAGTGAACTACAAATATATCCATGTCTAGAGGATCAACTACAAATATAAAAGATTGTATATCATGAGAGGTCTCGATAATCCATACAATGAGAATGTTTTGACTTAGTTGGAGAGGCTTCATCACCGTCAACGAATAGATGGGTCAGTGATAATTCCTAGGTCTTCTTGCTACTATGACTATATGGATCGCGTTGCTTCATAATTCTTCTACATTGCCATGGGCATGGGTCATAACCCACTCTAGCTCACCAAGGGTCTGGTTGGGTTTGATTGGGATCTGGTTTAGGTGATTCTAAGTCAATTCCAACTATATTTAAGACCTAAAAAATACCAAGAAATCCAAGCAAATGCAATATTTTTTAGCCTAGAATAATGAACTACCCAATCCAATCCAACTTCAAAATGATTCCCAAGTCGGATAGGTGATTTTAAACTATTTGAGACGTCCACGGCATTTGAGTAAAAGTTTGAATAAAGTGGGTGCATAGTCATAGGTGCAATTTATTTACCTTAAAAAATAAGGTCGAGCTTTTTATGTTTTTCCTACAGTATAGAAGTTATATCTTCCCCCTTATCAAATCGTCCATTCTGAATGGAGGGTTAAGATTGCCCCAATCACAATGTCACGTCTCTACAATATATATATATATATATATAAACTATTTTAACACCAAATTTTGAATGTCCATTCCTCTATTAAACTCACAGTAGCGAAAATTAAAAAAAAATATTTTCAATAAAAAAAATAACCAAAATACCCCTAAAAGTTTCAAGAGGTATTTTGGTCATTGTATTTTATTGAAAATTATTTTTAATATTTTTATAGGTGCACCCCAATGAGAAGATGACACGTATCAAATTTTCATATTCATACAATTTGTATAAAAAAAAACTAAAAATAAAATACTTTGAGACGTCGGATCTAATATCAAACGATGAGTGACTCTCTTGATCAAAATTGGACGCCTGGATAGTAGGGGGAGGATAGAAGTTCTATGCTGTAGGGGAAGCATAGAAACCTTTCCCAAAAAATAAAAGCAACATGCACCTCTGAATCTTGCTTAAATGGTCTAAAAATCTAGTTCCACTGCTAATTATGAACTTTAAAGCTTTAAAAAATAGTGTAGATCAAACAGATCCATAAACACTAAATAATTTTGAAAATGGATGGTTTAAAAATAATATATTTTGTAATAAATTGTACATTATGGTTGTGAAAAAAAATAAGAATTCAAGCTCTAAAAATAACATATTTTGTAATAAATTGTCTAGATCGTCTATTTTACGTTTAAAATAAATGGTCACATATATGTAATATTTGTACTTTTGTTTGATTTTCAAATTTTAGTGTGGATGTTATAAATTGATTTTAGAGCCATCATAGATATTTTCGTCACCAAAAGTACTTTGTGGACAAAGATTTGAGGTGAGGCTTTATTTTATTTTCATAAAACCTAGACCTCATAGAAACCTCATCCTTAAAAAAATAAAAAATTGTTCCATGCAAGTTGGGACCGCATTTCTACTTGCTCCCTAAAAGAAAGTGTAAAGCATGTAAAGCATCCATCTTAAAAATGGATGCAAGTAGGTGTTCTATCTAAAAACAATCAAATATTTTTTTATTAAAATTACTGTTTTTAATTTTTAAAATTTATTTATTTGTTCAAATTCATGATCTAGAGAGTACGAGTCCTTAAAAATTACGTTTTAAAAATCCATTTCAAAAATAGATTCATTAAAAGACTCACATTTGTGGGCTTGAAACCGGGTCCTTACAAAATTTCCGAAGTTCGAATCCCTCCACGATTTAAAACCCTTCTCAAATTCCTAAATTTGTTTTTTGAAATGCAGCAAATGTCAGAAAAGGGAGGGATAAAATAGTCATTTGACAAATTTTCAAGTGCAAACGCCGACCTTATCAAAAGCAATTTCAAAACCCATTCTTTTCCACTTGTATTTGTGTTTATCCACGAAACCACTGTTTCCCACACAGCGAGCCCACTGTCGAAAAAAAGCAGAGTTTAGAGAGAGAAAGGGAGAGTTTAGAGAGAGAAACAAAATCAGAGTAAGAGAAGAGAAGAGAGCCGAGCATAGGAGGAGATAGAGAGAGAGAGAGGATATCAGGACACTTCTTGTGTATAGAGATAGGGACTAGAGAGAGAGTTTGTGTACTGTCCTCTATTTGCAGGGCGCTCTGCCCCAAAATGCATGGCGATAAGGACCTCAGCACCGGCGCACCTTTACTGCAGGGTTCTGTACCCTAATTATCAGTCTCTGTACCGTCTGCAACTCAATGGCCGTCTTTCTCGATTCACCGGTAAAAGCCTCTAATCAATGCCTTTTTCCCATCAATTTCCTCCCCTGTAAAAAGTAAAAAAACCTGCAAGAATTTTGAATTCATTAGCTCCATTTCCGACCGTTGGAGTTGCTCTCTTTTCAGCCTTCTGCATTTTTCTGAGTTTTTACGGGTTTTTTGAGATCGTGTAGAGGGCGGTTTTTGAGGTTTATATGGGCTTTTGTTGAGTTGAAATAGTGAATTAGGGGTTAAATGTGGTTAATTAGGCGTCTGAGGGCTAGAGCTTCTTCTCTCTTTAAAATTTATGGTAATAATCTTTCAGTTTCAAAATTTGAAAGTTAAAGCAGTTACAGATTGATTTGGCAGTTATTTCTAGAAATAAAAGTGAATTTTAGACCTTTATGCATTTTTTGCATTTTCTGGTAGGGGTTCGTACTGAGCAAAGAAGCTTTTGAAATATAGGGTTTAGCGCATGACGTCATCCAATACCAGAGTTTCCTTGTTCCTAAGACGAGGATCTTTGCTCTTAATTTGTTTTAATTACTGAAACTTTTGTCGATTGTACCCGTGATTTTCGAGGTATTTTCGTATATTTTTGCAGTAAATTGGGATTTCCGGCGCCTCTGTACTCAACCTAGGGTTTCTGATCAAACCGCGTGAGCCCGTACGATTCAATGTTCTTTTGGGAAGAACTGAAAATTATATAAAATGTTATCCACTTTTGAGTCCTTTTGGATTATAACACCGGCAAATGCTTTAGGGTTCCTCCATATTTATAATATTGGTTAATGACATTATAAAATGTGCCTTAAGGGACTAGAAATTGAGATAAATTCATCAAGTGCGTGAGACAAGTTAAAGAACCTGGCTTTGTTTTTGTAGGGTTTTTTTTATTAGAATTGTACATGTCATCATTTTGGGAAAAAGGTAAAGTATTATTTTAAGGTTCTCTTGATATTTTAGGCTTTTAGCTGATTTGTTTGTATTTTAAATGAATATCTTTTGAAAAAGGATATCTCTGGTGTGTTATAAACCATTTTAATGAGATAAAAGTTCTGCTTGTTTTGTGTTTTAAATGAATATCATAAAAGAAATAAATCATTTTTTTATATGCCGTAATGTGACTAGCCTGTTTTCTTCTATATATGGAGCTTCAGGCATCGATCTTTTCAATAAATCTGTAATAAAATCAGCACTATAATGATTTTGCGATACATTTTGAGCTTCCTGTGTTTTACTTTAAAGCAATTTATCAGAAAAAAGAGATTTTCTGCTAATTTTCTCTGTGAAACTTGCTTTCACTCCCTATTTACATGTTCTTCTCAGAGTATCTCTGCAAATTTTTTTTTTTTATATTAATGGAACGGGAAATCCTTCTAATTTATTGTCCCTACCTTGGTTTATTGTGTGAAAGACAAACGTATAAAGATACATTTTCATCTTTTTGGTAAAAACTGTTGGGATTTTAGCTTTCCGTACCTGCTTTTTTTAAGTGCCCTGAAATTATTGATTTTCCATTATTTCGGGTTTCTCATTTTGGATCCAGGCATTTGATTAGTATTTACTGCAAATATCGAGACATGCAACTAATAACTTTTTCAACGTGATATTTTTCTACGATTTTAAGTTTTGAGGAATTCATAATTTTTGGGGGTTCTTATGGTACTAGCAATTCCTTACTAGCATTTAATTTTCTACAAAAGTTTTTACTTTTTGTGGTTCAGATAACAGAGAAAAGTTTTGTTTTGTTACCAAACCTGGCATTTTCCCCCTTGAATCATGATTTTCGGATCTATGTTCTGAGATTTTTTCTGGCAATAGTAATAATGAGCGCTTGAAAATTTAGAGATTTGGGTTTCTTTAGTGAGAGAAGAAAATTTAATTTTCTTTTAAACATTAGTTAAGTATCCTTAAAAGGAAGTTATACTGAGAAGCATTTACCATCCTTATTTTCTGTCTGTCTTCTTGTTTCTAGAAAGTTATTTTCATTTAACATAAACAACTGGACACTCTTGATTTATGTATAGGAGTGAAGCTGCTATGATCTGTGAAAGCATAGTGAAAAAAGATTCTGCAACATCATCAGTCTCTTCATGGTAGCCTTCTTTTACGGGCCTTCAAGTTTAGATCAAATTAATTAGCATCAGACAACGATTTCTGGTTCTTGTTAACCAAGGAAGGAAGGTTCACTTTCTTTCTTAATCAGCAGAAGGAGGAAAAAAAGTTCACTGTGAGGTGCAATATAAATGCATGGATGGGAGGGAAGCCATGGCGTTATCAGGTTCCTCTCCATATTACATGCACAGAGGGATAAGTGGAATTCATGGGCAAGCAGGCGTGAGGCCCATATCGAATACTAACCCAAATTTGAGTGCGCAATCTGGTGGTATTAGTAGTAGTGGAGGTGGGTCAAATTTACCAATTGATTCTTCTTCGAATATGGGTATGCCTACTGGTATGGCAAATGTTGAACCTGTTAGAAGAAAGAGGGGGAGGCCTCGAAAGTATGGTCCAGATGGGAGTGTAGCATTGGCATTGTCTCCATTATCCTCTTCCGCTCCTGGCCCTGTTGGCCCGCTTCAGAAGCGGGGTAGAGGGCGGCCACCTGGTTCTGGGAAGAAACAGCAGTTGGCTTCTCTTGGTAAGATCTCTCTCTGTCTTTCTTTCTTCCTCTCTCCTTATTACTATAAATTGTCATGGTTGGTTGTTCAGCATTTTGTATGTTTTGTGGTCCGGCTTCATGGGTTCTTTCTGTGGGTACGTTTATTCGTGATTTTGGTTGGATTCATCTGCTTTTTTTATAGGTTTTGACTGCATGTGAATTATCTTTTAAGATTTTGTTATTATTAATATTGTTATCACACCATCATTATCATTATATTTGTGTTTGGATTAGTTCCAGTTGCATAAACGAGTCTTTTTTATCTCAATTTTTATAATCTGTTTAAGGGTCCATGTGAAAATGGAAAGCTGGTTTAGCATTGTGTTGATGCCTTTTTTCCCCTTTATTCGATCTTTGTTCAATAATGCCTGCTGAATTTTTTCTTTCTTTTTGATTGGTTTTTCTTGTTGATTTTCTTACTGTTAACTTTTGTTTGATGGCTTGCTAGTTTTTATGTTACTGTGCTTCTAGAGTTACAAAGAATTTGTTGCACTAGTGGTATTTATTGGTGTAAAAATCTTGTTGCAGATAGCTCTCTATGATTTAAATATGGCTTCCTGTTGCATGGATGGAACTTTACCACAATGAACTCTGAGATCACTCTTGATGTGCCTAGAGCTACACTTGGCATCATAATATGATAATTGCTGTTTTCTGTATCCATTCGTTCTTATTTCTGAGGTCCCTGAATCTCTAATGTGTTTGTGATTATGATGAAGACTTGCATTACAGCAGTAGTGATTGATTTGGCCATTTCGAAATAAGACTGGGTCTTTTCTTTTTCTTAGTTGGAAATTTTTTCTATGGTTGATAACCTTGTCATTTTCTCATTGAATGGCTATGTTCCTAATGATTGTCATTTGCCATTCTCCTATGCTGGTGTGGGTGGGTCCTATCTTGGTTAACTCAAAAAGAATATATTGAATTTGATGGTTTTGTTTTCTGTTAATCATTGAAGATGAATACTAAGTACCAATGACTGCTGCATGCCTTCTTTCTTGTCTTGATGGATTCATCCCAACTGATATTATGGATTATAAATTGAGTTCCATTGTCATTTGGGATATGTGTCTCGATGACATTTAATTCATATTGGAAAGTCATGGCACAATCCTTCATGGCATTCCTTCTCTCTGTTTTATTTGCCTCAGAAATTTCCATGCTTAGGCATCATGACCCCCTGTGATGATACCATGTCAATGGTTCTGTACTGCAAGTGTGAAGGTTTGCATTTCCTTCTGAACTCCTTCCTAAAGTTTACAACTCTTTGTTAATCCTTTGAGATAGGGTTCGAAAATGCAGTAGACAGCTTTTTGTGTGATGTTCTTTGGCAGTCAGCGCTAGGGGTCGCGAGTGCCCAAGCCAAATTACTGTAGTATATGTAAATGCGCTAGTAGGAAGAATATGTACTTGAATTTTCTTAAGAGTAGATGCACTCAGAGCACTTATGTAGGCACATTTATCACCTGAAAATTTGTCTGTAGCAACATCTTCCGATTGTTTCAGATCCTGTCTATACCATAACGCTATGTTAACTGGTGCAGGACTTTGTTCATAATATGTATGAGATAGGTTTTGAGAATGCAATTCCGTGATGTTTACTGGTGGTCAGTGCTAGGGGTTGGGGATGTGCTTGAAGGAATTTGCACTTGGAAGGAAGTTTGCTAGTAGTGACATCTTCCAGTTTTTCAGATCTTTCTAGAAAACACTTCTTTGATAGGAAGTTTGCTTGTAGTGACATCTTCCATTTTTTCAGTGCCCCCTAGTTAACTGGTACAACACTTCATTGATAGTATGTTTGAGATAGGGTTTGAGTATTTAGTAGAATGCTTTTTGTGCAATGTTTGCTGGTGGTCAGCGCAAGGGGTAGGGATTGCCCTAACCAAATCTCTGTATTATGTAAAACATGCTGCTGAATGGTGACATTTTATACTTCTCACAAGATGAATGCCACTGGCCTTTTTTGGGGATATTTTTCCATGAGTTACATCCTTTCAACTACTTTTTTTTTTCTTTTTAGTTTACACTTGACTGCTAAGTTGTGTTTTGTTCTCTTTATGTATTTCTCGCTCTTTGGTCACTCAAATCGAGATACTATTCACAAGTTCATAGTTGTTATTTGTCTGATTCTTTTTCAGTTCCAATCCTGGCTCCTTATTATTGCATTGGCAAAAGGTACTTCTTTTGCAGTCAATTTTGACTTTTTAGAAACTTAAGACTGTGCCAGAGGTATATTTAAAGTTTCATTGGAACTGTTGGTCTAGAAATTCTGGTATTCTGTTAAAGATTTCAGTTGTTTGCGGGTTGAAGTTTCTTTTGATTTCATGTTGATGGCGTGTTCATTCATTGAAACTAGGGGAATGGCTTGCAAACTCTGCTGGAATGGCTTTCACTCCACATATCATAACAATCTCAATCGGAGAGGTACTGTATGCCTGCTCACACTTTTTTAGGATTGTTTCTGAACTTTTGCATTCAAATTGGAATCAGACAAGATAACTGCTATTTGAGAGATGGATATATGTTATATCAATATTTGTATAGTGATAGGTCATTTTTGTTTAGCAGAAGTATGTTTTTCACATTTGAAATACTTCTGTTGATTAAATTACTCAACACTGACCATTAACATTCTCAAAAAACAAAAAGTACTCAACACTGGCATTTTATAATCACTACTGGAATTTTGCTTGTGGATCACCTTGTGATGAGCAACAGTTTGCTTGCAGAAGGTTATGATGTAAGGATGCTTTGTTCAATTTGGCATTTTTTTTCTGCAATAAGAGAGTTTATTTGGACATTGAATGATTCTACTTTTGGCCGGATGGATTGCCTGAGGTACTTAGGAGAGATACGTTGGTCCAATTTGTAGATTTTTATTTCATTTATTGCTATAATTTTGTCCTATAATTTTGTCCATGGTAAACTACTCTTGATGCCTTGTTGAGAACATTTAGTTATGGAGACCCATATTATTGTAAGGTTGCCGTTTGTATAGAGCCGAGGCTCTAAACGATCAAAGTAGAGCCCACCTTCAAATTGTGTCGAGAAATGTGGTTTCAATACTTGAAATCTTTATGACAGCCTTATAATATATTTTTATCTCTAATTATAAAATTTAAAGCTTCAAAAATCGTATAGATCGAGCAGATGTATGAAAACTTTAAAATCTTTAAAATTGAGGGTCCAAAAATGCATTACAAGATGCACTATTTTCAAAACTTGAAATCCTTTTTTTTTATCATGTCCATGCATCTCGATGTTGAGATGATGACTTTGAAGATATTTGGGCATTAAAAGAACCTCTTCTAGTGAAATTTTTGAGGTGTGCTCTAATTTGATTGTTTAGAGCCTCTGCTCTATATAAACTTTTTCCTTATTGTAATGTGTGGAAAATAGAGAAAAAAGGGTACATGGTTGAGAAGAATCTATGTGCCAAATTATTTTACTGAGAATTGAACCACCAAAAGTTATATATGGATGTTTGAAACAGATCAATCCATGTGCCAAGTCACATTTACAGGGAGTCTAATTTTGTGAATGTTTTATACTTTTTGGATGTTACTAACAAATCCACTTGTAAAAGGTCCTGCACTTTTAAAACACACATGCGTATTTTACTGAAGAATTGAGAAAAAAAGGGTACATGGTTGAGAAGAATCTATATGCCAAATTATTTTACGGAAGAATTGATCCCCCAAAAGTTGTATATGGATGTTTGAAACAGATTAATCCATGTGCCAAGTCACATTTACAGGAAGCCTAATTTTGTGAAAGCTTTATACTTTTTGGATGTTGTTAACAAATCCACTTGTAAAAGGTCCTGCACTTTTAAAACACATGCATGCCTATTTTCTCAAATGACTCTTATTTTGATTCCTGAAGCAAGAAGTTTTTAATGAAAGCTTATTTTATATTATTGAAAAAGAGTCTTTATCTTTTGCAAGTTGATTTATAAGTTTGTTATTCCGTTTGGCTCCTAAGGACTGGTTGTCAACTTTTTGCGCATCACATTTTAAAGGTTGAATGTAGGTGCCTTTATTCTTGACTGAATTTTTCCTCAATACATTGCTACTTCAATGTTGCTGAACTCCTCGTTTATGAGATACACTCTCTACCTATGGCCAATTATTGTCCTTCTGTTCAGCATGTCCAAAAGATATAGACGTAAAAAGGATACATAAAAACACTTCATCGGTTTGCTTTTCTTTATTTCTGGTCTATGTGTGCGTGCGTGTTTGTGTTTGTTTGTTTGTTTATTTTTACTTGCATAAACTATCTTAAAGCATAAATAATTGACCAGAGTGTTTCATATTGCTCTTGGCCTGAAACAGAGCAGCAGACCGAATTTTATGGAACTATGGAACTCTTCTGAGTTCTGATCTGGGGGTATTACCTCATTATGAACACCAGCATGCATTATGAATTGCCTCTAGTTTGGCTTCCTTGGCCTAGGGCTCTTTGCCCTTAAGTTGGTGTCCTAAACTCCTAATTGTTTACATTTAGTTTGCTAATTTATTTTTAATCTTTGATTGCAACGAACACCAACAAATATTTCAGCTTGGTCTGTATTCAAAGTATTTCATTTTGCACCATGAATCTAGTAGCTAGATCTCGATTACCCCCTTCACAAATGACATGCTCCTATATTACTTATTTGTTTCCCTCACCTGCCAAGCTGTTTTTGAGCATCCTTGACCCATGACTATTATACAATATAATAAAAGACCCGTTTTGTTTTGTTTTTGATTTATAATTGCATCATCAGCCAGGGGGTCCTTAGTGTACCTTGAAATGCTGCACATTTTCTTGTAATTCTCATTTGTGATGGGATTGTTTGAATTTGGAAATCGTGTTTTCCAACCCTACTGTGGATTTGAGAGCGTATTGTTGTTCTTACGTTTTGTCACTGCTTCTTGAGTATTCTTTGGCATGCTTCGTCAACTCTGTCATCCACTGGTATTATTCTATTATTGCTCCACACTGTAGATGAAGGCCTTTCTGATGTCTTTTTTTTTTTTGAAGCAATTAACTCCTTTCTGTTGTCTATTAAACACCTTGAAAGAATGTAGTGAAAGTATGATACCCAAACTTTATTTTTTATTTTCATGTTTTCAAGGAATGGTTGACCATCCTTTATCCGTACATTACTAAATATTTGAAACATGGATCAACTTAAATATTTTATCTGTCCTATCTTGCTTTAGAAATGACCAAATAAACATTAATGATGAATAGAAACAATTAGTTAAGTTGCTTGTTAATTGGGGTATTACCTCAATTTGTTTGGGAGAAAGTTGGCTTTGGGGGTGTTGCCTCAGTATGCTAGTGACAACTGAGGTTGCATTCCTTAAATGCTTGCTTGAGAGTACCTGTCTCAGCTGATCTGTGTTGCTGGTCATGAGAAACGGCCATTTGGTTTGTTAGCCTTGACATATGATTTGATGTTTTGTATCATGTGGAA